GCAGTTAGCGTTAGGAGTAAAAAGGACTCTTTATTTAGGTGTTTTATAATCCTCTACGTCTATGATCTAACAGCTGTCGGTTACTGGAAACAAGGTGTATCGTACGGCTCAAAGAATATGTAATATATATAACATATTTATATATAATATTATATGTACAATAAGTTATATTATATAATAAGTTATATTAGTATTAAACTAGTTGCAATTAACTGACACCTTAGAAAGTCTAGCTAGAGCTCGCACAGACAACGTTAACATTAAATATAACAACATTTCAATACTGTATTACACGTAACTCTGAGGGCATTACATCTGTACTGTTAGTTGTCGGATTGAGCTTGAAGCTTTGGAGAGTGCCAGCAGCAAAATGTAACGATTCTCAAAAATATGGCTTCAACAATGTTTAGTTGTCGTGTAAACATGTACAATGATGTATTGACTCTAATACAGCTCCACCAATATATAGTATGTATAATATAAATAAGTTTAGAAAACTCTTTATGATAATAATTGTAAAGCCGCACCAAGACTCTGCACTGTCTCTTAAAGAAATGTCTCCCAAACTCTAACCCCTGATTTTAGCCTCTCAAATCACACCCCTTACTCTAGCCCAAATATAACTCACAAATCACACCCCTTACTCTAGCCCAAATATAACTCACAAATCACACCCCTTACTCTAGCCCAAATATGACTCTCAAATCACACCCCTTACTCTAGCCCAAATATAAAGATATAACTCTCATCTCAGACCCTTACCATGTGTAAGCTCGGTCAGATTTCGGACACCCTATTTCGGACCCCCTATTCCGGACGCCCTATTTCGGATCCCCTATTTCGGACCCCCTATTACGGACGCCCTATTTCGGACCCCCTATTTCGGACCCCCTATTTCGGACCCCCTGTTTTGGATCCCCTATTTCGGACCCCCTATTTCGGACCCCCTATTTCGGACGCCCTATTTCGGACCCCCTATTTCGGACCCCCTGTTTTGGATCCCCTATTTCGGACCCCCTATTTCGGACCCCCTATTTCGGACCCCCTATTTCGGACCCCCTATTCTAGGACTGTAACTCCGATGATTAACAGTCAATATAAATACCATCACTTCTGATCCTGCAATCAGTGTAATCGCTACTAAAGCTTGTCTGATAATTAATATTCTGAGAATCCGTCAAATAGATGGACCGCAAGACAGAGACGACATCTGGACTAGACAAGTACTAGGCAAGGTGGTCTCTTCTCTCAGCAGTCTGACATACCCCACTACAAATAACAATTACATATCTGTAAATCTATTTGAAAACAATTTACTTGACACTAAGAAAAGTTATCATTAGTATGAAGAGTGAGGGAACACTGAACGTAAAAGTATATTTAATATTAGTAGTATTATTGGATTGTTTAGCCGTCTAATAACTCTTTAAATTCCACAGATTTAGAATGCAGATCCCCAAATAGGGTACTAAGTTAGATAAGTAGTAGTAGCACTAAGAGCTGCAGAGGGCGGTAATATTGAACCTGAACATTCTGAAGTTGTGGCAGGCCCTGGCCCGTTTGTCAAGCTGCTCCACGTTTTGTCGCACTATTCCCTCTGCATGATCTCATTCCCCGAGCTAACAACCCTTTGAATGAAAATCAAATTGTCTTCCCGCAACGTCACTCAGTCTGTTATTATCATGGTCGTTATACTGGACCCAGCACTGGGACCCTCATATTATACGGTCCTTATACCTTTATACCCTGCACTGGGACCCTCATATTGAACCCTTAAACCCTGCACTGGGACCCTCATATTGAACCCTTAAACCCTGCACTGGGACCCTCATATTGAACCCTTAAACCCTGCACTGGGACCCTCATATTGAACCCTTAAACCCTGCACTGGGACCCTCACATTGTACCCTTATACCCTGCACTGGGACCCTCATATTGAACCCTTAAACCCTGCACTGGGACCCTCACATTGTACCCTTATACCCAGCACTGGGACCCTCACATTATACCCTTATACCCAGCACTGGGACCCTCATATTGTACCCTTATACCCAGCACTGGGACCCTCACATTGTACCCTTATACCCAGCACTGGGACCCTCACATTGTACCTTTATACCCAGCACTGGGACCCTCACATTGTACCCTTATACCCAGCACTGGGACCCTCACATTGTACCCTTAAACCCCGCACTGGGACCCTCACATTATACCCTTAAACCCCGCACTGGGACCCTCACATTGTACCCTTAAACCCCGCACTGGGACCCTCACATTGTACCCTTATACCCTGCACTGGGACCCTCACATTATACCCTTATACCCTGCACTGGGACCCTCACATTATACCCTTATACTCTGCACTAGGACCCTCACATTATACCCTTAAACCCTGCACTGGGACCCTCATATTGTACCCTTATACCCTGCACTGGGACCCTCATATTGTACCCTTAAACCCCGCACTGGGACCCTCACATTGTACCCTTAAACCCCGCACTGGGACCCTCATATTGTACCCTTAAACCCAGCACTGGGACCCTCACATTGTACCCTTAAACCCCGCACTGGGACCCTCACATTGTACCCTTATACCCTGCACTGGGACCCTCACATTGTACCCTTATACCCTGCACTGGGACCCTCATATTATACCCTTATACCCAGCACTGGGACCCTCACATTATACCCTTATACCCTGCACTGGGACCCTCATATTGTACCCTTATACCCTGCACTGGGACCCTCATATTATACCCTTATACCCAGCACTGGGACCCTCACATTATACCCTTATACCCCGCACTGGGACCCTCACATTGTACCCTTATACCCTGCACTGGGACCCTCATATTATACCCTTATACCCTGCACTGGGACCCTCATATTATACCCTTATACCCTGCACTGGGACCCTCATATTGTACCCTTATACCCTGCACTGGGACCCTCATATTGTACCCTTATACCCTACACTGGGACCCTCACATTATACCCTTAAACCCTGCACTGGGACCCTCATATTGTACCCTTATACCCTGCACTGGGACCCTCACATTATACCCTTAAACCCTGCACTGGGACCCTCATATTGTACCCTTATACCCTGCACTGGGACCCTCATATTGTACCCTTAAACCCTGCACTGGGACCCTCATATTATACCCTTATACCCTGCACTGGGACCCTCATATTGTACCCTTATTATAACCTACATACAATTAGAAGAGTACAATTGTGTTATCACACAAGAATATGATAAGTGATGTATACTGAATAATGTAATAATCTCCCAACTGTGACACCTCTATCAACCTGAATAATGGATGATGTCAACGAGTGAGAGTCAAAGGGCGTCTGCGGCAAGCCTTATTTGATTGGAACACAATGTTGGGAGTATTGATTGACAAATGGGCATTGTTCAGCTGCAGCAGGCAGGGTTGATAGTTTGGCAACTTGTCTAGTAGCCGGCTTAGTGTCCGGCTCAGTGCAGAGTCCGGTTCGGTGTGATCTAATGTCAGTCTAAAAACTACTGTCACATCCGTCACAGCCGGAGCCGGAGCACTTAATCTAGCTGCAAATTGTGGGGAAATTGTGGGGATTTTTACCGGCAAATTATAGAGCCCATTCAGTACCGCGGGTATAAGTACCTAGCAATAAGTATAGTAGTTACAGAAGAACCAGCAGGAGAACTGTACTGTAACCGGACTGTAACCGGACTGTAACCGGACTGTAACCGGACTGTAACCGGACTGTAACCGGACTGTAACCGGACTGTAACCGGACTGTAACCGGACTGTAACCGGACTGTAACCGGACTGTAACCGGACTGTAACCGGACTGTAACCGGACTGTAACCGGACAGCATTGATTATAACAAATATATTAGGAGTGTACGGATATTTCTAAAAAGGCGTAAAAGAAGCGTTTTATAAGAGAGATCAATTTCCCCTGTGAGTTCGGCCGTCTGAGTAGGCATTTCCTGAGTAGTCAGCAATGGAATTTGACGAACATTTTCTTTTTGCGGGGGTACACGTACTCGTTACATTACTTTGCTTCAACTCACACCTGCCGGCTTGTGTGATAGTAGCAGTATTCTGCTGGTAAACCCAAGTCTAACGCATAATCTCATTCGGTTGCGACCAGAAACCTAATTATTATCCTAATGAGCTCATTAAAATGCAGTCACCAATAAGGAGGGGGTTCTCTCCAGTAACCAATGGTACGATCCTGTGACTCATCAGGGCACATTATTACAATACCCCAGTAAAGTGTACGTGGTTATTTAATTAATTCGGTCCTCTAAAATTATCCCTGGTCTCTAAATGTGGAAATATCATAGCTTTGTTAGAGGCTAAGTGGCGTCACGAACTTACAGCACGGGTATACACATGTAACTTAATATTATATACCTGGACCTTTGTTACTTAGTTATTATAGTGTATATGTGGTACTTGTTATGTAATGTTATTATATTGTGAAGGGGATGTGTTTAATGAGAACTATAGTGCTTTACAATGTATTATATACAGTACTTAACTATGTATTATATACAGTACAATGTATTATACAGTATTGTACTGAGCTACGTCACCTCACTACACACAGGGAGTAGGGTGTTTATTCTTTACCTCTGAGAAACAGTGGTGATCTGCAGGTGATGATCTGCCTATTCAACTAATAAGGAGGACTTGCTACAAATACTCAACCAATGCAGAGAAGTAATTATTTTCATAATTTTCTTTGGACAATGTTAATACGGCAATGCACGTCACGTATATAATTGTAAAAGTAGCGGATTCCATATTCATGTCAAAGTTTCAGAGCTAGAGATTACAAAGTTTTCATTTTTAACGACATACCATCACATGCCATCATAATATACCCACCCGAATAACTTAAACCTTGTATAAGAGCTACTGAGAATGTATGTGGTATGTATGAGAATGTATGCCGTAGTCATGTGAGTTATCTAGACTTAGAGTGACCTTGTCGCATACCTGAATTAAGTTTGCCACTATCTGGGCCGGAACTTTTCCTCTTGTCACCAGTTTTGCTTTCGGTTTTACCATCACCGTGGATATTTTTAGAGGCGTTACGTTGTTGAACACCAGGACCTATCTTGTACTGAAATGATCGATGTGACGAACGGTTTTGGAGTTAGATTTTTACTGATTAATTTGGTTTTTAAAGCTTTTAAATTAAAGGTTTAAAACTTTGTTTCCGGAATACAATATAATCACAGATAATAAAGCTAAAGGGTGGAGACGGATTATCTTAAAAATATAAGGTAGACAGTTACTACTAGCATTGATAATATAAACATTTAGTATTAAAGTTACAGCTTTAACACCACATTGTTTCTAATTTAATTAAGTATGACCTTAACGAAAATTAATCATTAATAATACAATTAAACTGTTTACCGTCCCAATTTAATCGCGCAGTAAACCCAGGTTCTCGGTAAATAAATAAATTTCAGTGTAAATGTCGCATTAAATGCGGATATAACTAACCTGAGTGGTGGGTAAAGGGTTGTATCTGAGAGGGCCCTCTATTGGGCCCAAACCTGGGTCTCTGAAATAGTGGGAATTAGTAGTGATGAGCCTCTGAAATAGTGGGAATTAGTAGTGATGGGTCTCTGCAATAGTGGGAATTAGTAGTGATGGGTCTCTGAAATAGTGGGAATTAGTAGTGATGAGCCTCTGAAATAGTGGGAATTAGTAGTGATGGGTCTCTGAAAAAGTGGGAATTAGTAGTGATGGGTCTTTGAAATAGTGGGAATTAGTAGTGATGGGCCTCTGAAATATTGGGTTTAGTAGCTCAATACTGTGTAATATACTAATATACTGTATACTGTACATATCGTATAGTATGGCTGAATGTTCCATGTTTGGAGACTTATAATATTTATAATCCTGTAATTTTTAAACGGTCGCCCTAACATGTTAAAAACTTAATTTCGTGTGAATTTCATATATATATTACCGCACCTGAACTCTCAAACTTCTTTTCGGAAACAATAACGGAATTTCTAACGGTACACAGTGGGCCCACTGTGCGGTATCGTATTGAAGTAGAGCAATATATTAGATTTCGTTATGAAATGAACCAGGAGGGTAATCTGATATCATTCTATAGTTAATTGTTCTCATTTAACTGATATGTAGCTATCAGTTAGCACTAGCACAGCAGTAAAATTATCTTAGCACAATAATTGTTGTATTGTTTATTAGGAAAGGCCGAACAAGCTTAAAGAAAGCTTCCTAAATAATTCCACTTCTGCTACAGCCCCTACCCAAACACAGTGCAATATAGAATATAGAATAGTTGCAGAGCCCCAAAATAACACATGTTATTGGCTCTCCGGTTGACGGGTTTTGTACCATCAAAGTACCTTGTAGTACCTTGTAGTACCTTGTAGTACCTTGTAGTACCTTGCAGTACCTTGTAGTACCTTGTAGTACCTTGTAGTACCTTGCAGTACCTTGTAGTACCTTGTAGTACCTTGTAGTACCTTGTAGTACCTTGCAGTACCTTGTAGTACCTTGCAGTACCTTGTAGTACCTTGTAGTACCTTGTAGTACCTTGTAGTACCTTGTAGTACCTTGTAGTACCTTGTAGTACCTTGTAGTACCTTGTAGTACCTTGTAGTACCTTGTAGTACCTTGTAGTACCTTGTAGTACCTTGTAGTACCTTGTAGTACCTTGTAGTACCTTGTAGTACCTTGTAGTACCTTGTAGTACCTTGTAGTACCTTGTAGTACCTTGTAGTACCTTGTAGTACCTTGTAGTACTTTGTAGTACCTTGTAGTACCTTGTAGTACATTGTAGTACATTGTAGTACCTTGTAGTACCTTGTAGTACATTGTAGTACATTGTAGTACCTTGTAGTACCTTGTATTACCTTGTAGTACCTTGTAGTACCTTGTAGTACCTTGTATTACCTTGTAGTACCTTGTAGTACCTTGTGGTACCTTGTAGTACCTGTCCCTGTACCCGCTACTAAGTATTGTCTGTCTCCTTATCAGGAACTGTCCGACAGTTCCGTTGTTCTGATAATTACTGAACATCTTGACAGCTACACCCTCTGATTGTTGTGGGGCCGGAAGAGGAGCATCATCTCTACCTTATCAGTATTGCTTTGAAGTGACAATATGATCTATGATGGTGGTCATGGGGCGCTGGCTGCAGGAGGCAGTACTGCCTCCTGCAGCCAGTACTGGCTCCTGCAGCCAGTACTGCCTCCTGCAGCCAGTACTGCCTCCTGCAGCCAGTACTGCCTCCTGCAGCCAGTACTGCCTCCTGCAGCCAGTACTGCCTCCTGCAGCCAGTACTGCCTCCTGCAGCCAGTACTGCCTCCTGCAGCCAGTACTGCCTCCTACAGCCAGTACTGCCTCCTGCGTCACGCCATGACCTCACCGACCCATAACATATTGTGCATGAGCCCCCAATTTTCTTTATCTCTTTTTTAATATTTTAAGTTTTTCCAGAGCTGAATTGAGATAGCCGTGAGGAGCCGGTGGTAATTGATTAGATTATGATGAATATGACATGTAAATAAGTGTAACAACCCTTATCAGGACAATTAGGCTCAGTACAGAGCCCTAAACCGCTTGGCCGCCACGGGAGATTACCCACATGTGGTATAGCTCATGGCCGCGGGTTACCGTGCGGCGATTACCGCCATTTTATTATACATTCTTTTAAATCATTTAAACGTAGGATAATTTCGAATGAAGGAGTAAAGTTTTTATTTTTGAGAGTTGGACATTTGGCTCGTCTCTGGAACAAGATGATAATTTTTAACATCGTATTTATTATGTAATATTTAATAGTCGAACAACACAACTTGATAAATTACCAATAATATTCTATTTGATTTGTCAAAGGAGGGTTTATGTAATAACTCACGTCGTCGGGAGGCGATGTTCGAGGGTGGGATGAGAAACAGAGGGATCCTGTGAGAATATATTATATCATATTATGAACATATTATATGCAAATATGTGGAATATATTACCATTACAGCATTTTAGGGATTACCTTGCGATTTAATCTGCGAGCGGGTAACGCTTGGTGAAGGGAGAGAGAGGATCCTACAGCCGTTACCAGGGTTATTAATAAGTTTTTATAAATTATTTTCCAAATCAACGCCCCACAACATGTATGTGACCAACGTGTCTTATCTACATTCCTAATTAAAGTGTCTATTTGTGGAGGTATTAAGGGTTGAGAAGATAATCTCGTCATTGCAATTGTCAAAATGAGATGGAGATTATCAGGATTATCAGGATTTTGAATTTATTACTTATAATAAGTTCATTTACGTAAGTATTGCTATTTAAGTACCTATTTAGTATTTACTGCAACATTACTGATTACATCAGTATGAATTATTCAACGGATATTTGCTTTCCTTACTATTTAAACAGTTAAAAGTTCAGATATACTCCGTACTGGACCATACTTGTAACCTTGGTTACCATGGTTACAGCATGGTTACTGGTCTATCATTGAGTTTACTTTGCACTCGTCTATCTAAGAACACCTTTCAAGCATCTGTCAATCGCTTTCTTACTGTCTTCACAACAGAAAGGTATTTCTAAAGGATGTATTTGATAAAGGAGCACTGTGCATATTATATTCCTTATTTTCCATTCTTGAGAAACCCTGCTTATTCCTTTCCTGATGCAATTTTGCGAGTTGCATTTCAAGTGGTGCACTGTTAAAGATGGGAAATTTGGTATGGATTCCGGAATTAATGACATTCTCGACTTTTAAAAGCGAATTTTGTCGTTAAACATTTCAATCTGTCCACGATAAAACATCGAACGCTTACAAAGTTTTATAGCTGGCTAGGCTCAACCACAGCGGTACTTTTATTAGTTTAAATTAAGTACACCGTATTATATTTCTTAGGCATGCCAATCCTATCTTTAACTTTTAAATAATTAGCATACCATTGATGATTAAATTTATGCCCGGTATCAGGCCATACTCCATAGCGGCGCTGAGATTTGTTTTATCTCTAAGACAGTACAACACAGCATTATGTTAAACAAGTCTAGTTAGCAGCCCCTTAGTACCGTTATTCAAAGTTATCACAGTTACAATTCAACTTTAAATTTAATGCATGTGGTCAGGCCTTAGATTAGAAACGGATAAGGTTTAAAAATCCAAATTGGTCTAATCAAGCTTTGTACTTACCCATGAATTATGAGAGGCTTTCTGTGGAAGCTGCTGATGTGAAAGCTGCGGAAACTGCTGGGGTAGATTTGATCTAGATGTCTGCATATTATCAGACAGCTGATACTGAACACTAGGCTGATGGTTGTAAAACCTAATTTCAGGGCCATGATATTGACCTGGAGCAACAGGATTACACTGTTGAGGGATCACATGACCAAGTTGATCACGTGACTGTTGCGGGATCACGTGGTTCAGATTATACAGTGCAGAATTCTCTGAACTTCTAGAACTATTCTGAAGATTGTTCATTACTTGAGGTTTGGAGTCTGGGTACTGGTAACTGTTAGCTCCGTTGTAGCTGAGTGTTTGGTTTGTAGTTTTGCCCATATTATAACGGTTATCATCTTTATAACTGTATGTTTTACCGGGAGTTCCTCCACCCTGTGCAGAATACTGGGGAGGGATACCAACTGTGTGAGCTGGCATGTTCTGTATTGGAACTCGGTGGTTCGGAGCAGATATATCCTGTCCTGGGTTGTAGCCGAAGTTGTTGGTGGGTGGCTGGTAAACACCTTGTAGATCGTTACAGTTTACTCCTCCGGCAACTTGATAAAACTTTCTATCCTCGTTCTTCTGATTAGTAGATTGAAAGTTATTGTTCTGGTATGGCTGCTGGTAGTTGGTGTACTGTGGGTTCGTGTCAGGATACTTGTGGTGGTTTGTGTCACCCTGAAAGCGAGTGGCTTTAGTGTGCTAGTTACATCATTTCAGGTGGGTGATAACATTAATTCTAAGTACTGTTCCATTACCAGTAAACACATTAGGAATAACCGATAACAGATAATTAATGTTTGCCTAATCTGTTTGAGTAAACTCATTAAGAACCAATTTGAAAAGCTTATCAGAGGCTAGGTGGCGGGGGGCGATGAAGGCTCATAACCCATTGCCGGGTTACGATAATAAACATTATATAATACACAGTCACATGAATATGATATAAGATAACGTAAACTTTAAAAGTTATTAAAATCTTCCACCTCAATTTGCTAGCGCTGTCTTGAATCTTAGAAGCATAAAGTCATCGCGTTTTTAAAATAACTGTAAGAATATTTCTCACTTGCGAAGATTTGCGTCTTTTCGGCGAGCCCTGTTGGAACATGTGTAGCGACCTTTTGTTCGACATGATCCCAACACTGTCTTCACTGTCTACAGTAAGAATTGTGTGATAACTTTGTGGGAATTGAAAGGGGGTAATATAATATATTAGCAACATACCCACAGTGCGTGTTCGTTATCTCGCGAGTATTCATTATACGATAATTACTTAATCAGATGATTACTTAATTACTTGGTGATAGGGAGGAGCGAAATGAATTGCTGGCCAGTAATAATGACGCATCAGGTCACAGCTAGGTTTGGGGACCACGCTACTCTCCAATTTATTACATATTATGATAATAACGGTTTGTTACTTTGTTACATCACCCGCCACCGTCTTGTAATTGTGAGCTCAAATCAAACAATCGCATTCAATATATTATGCTGGGGAAAATGAAATCTACAGAGCCACTCACATTATTGATACACAGAAAAGGGTGGTTAATCATTCCAAGAAGTGGTTTTTTAACGGTAAAAGTGAAGTCTAGACGGGAGAATAGAGCTAGAGGGAGGGAAGAGAGTGAGGAGGGGGAGAGTGAGGGAGGGGAGAGTGAGGAGGGGAGTGAGTACTGAGTCCTCAGATAAGAGGTGTAAAGTGCACTTCACCCCAACTTCACCCCAACTCCCATATTACCAACACCCCTTTTACAGGACCGACCCGTTAAAAACTCATAATCTCTTCTATATTATTAGCGAGGTCCGTTCAGGTCCCTAATCATTGGTGGGTCAAAGTCTGTCCACTTTTTGTATTAAGATAAGAATAGATAATTTATGATATAATGGTTTAAGCACAAATATTATGTCATCGATTTTTTGAGAAGAAACTGAGCAACCTATATTCATCATTAATGTCTAATTAGCAATTTTCTTGTTAAATTCTCCTGAAAGGTTTTCATCCCGAAACATTATCCTACAAGTCCTTCTCAAGTTCAATATAAAACATTATATTTTCGAAGTACAGACTACTGGGCAGATGATCAATCTTAAAGCACAGGTACATAGTGACACTCAGGCCACATAGTGACACTCGGGCCACACAGTGACACGAGTGACACAGTGACACTTGCACTCGTGTCATAATCTCTACGATTAACATAGAACCTAACGTGCCATATAAAATTAAAACAGTCATAATTTACCCGCCAAAATTACTTACAAACTGCTGTAGAGCTGGACATGACATTGGACCCTCTCAAAAATAGTCATAGACTCGTAACAAAGAGTTACAGACATCTTAAGAAACTAAGTCAACCAGGTAACCAAGGTAACCAAGGTAACCAAGGTAACCTAGGTAACCAAGGTTACCAAGGTTACCAAGGTAACCTATTGCAATAACCATGGTAACCAAGGTAACAAAGGTAACCAAGGTAACCAAGGTAACCAAGGTAACCAAGGTAACCAAGGTAACCAAGGTAACCAAGGTAACCAAGGTAACCAAGGTAACCAAGGTAACCAAGGTAACCAAGGTAACCAAGGTAACCAAGGTAACTAAGGTAACCAAGGTAACCTAGGTAACCTAGGTAACCAAGGTTACCAAGGTAACCAAGGTAACCAATTGCAATAACCATGGTAACCAAGGTAACCAAGGTAACCAAGGTAACCAAGGTAACCAAGGTAACCAAGGTAACCATGGTAATCAAGGTAACCAAGGTAACCAAGGTAACCAAGGTAACCAATGTAACCATGGTAACCAAGGTAACCAAGGTAACCAAGGTAACCAAGGTCACCAATTGCAATAACCATGGTAACCAAGGTAACCAACCAAGGTAACCAAGGTAACCAAGGTAACCAAGGTAACCAAGGTAACCAAGGTAACCAAAGTAACCAAGGTAACCAAGGTAACCAAGGTAACCAATGTAACCAAGGTAACCAAGGTAACCAAGGTAACCAAGGTAACCATGGTAACCAAGGTAACCATGGTAACCAAGGTAACCAAGGTAACCAAGGTAACCAAGGTAACCAAGCTAACTAACTCTGCTTTCCCAGATTGGGACTCCTCACTGAGGCATATTGCAAAGTCTTTAATCCGAGCTAATGCTGTATTGCCGGTGCCCTGTCTCGAGTAGGTGTACGTGTGAGGGAACAGTATTATGTGTACTTAGTATGAAGCAACATGATATTCATATTTTAGCGATCCAATGAAAAGGCTTGATAAGCCGGTGTCTGCTGGGTACCATTAATTATAAATAATTGCAGCACATAAAAGATAATTGGATGTGCATACAACTTGAATTAATGAATTTGTGTCGGTGTATTTGACCAGACATTGTGAGAAAGGCTGAGTTTAATATACTACTAAATACTACTAATGGGTGTATGTTAGTAATATACACGAGGGACTAAAAGGGCACCGTATACGCATACATTATGAGTATTGCTGAAAGCACAGTGTAATTATGATTTTAACAATATCTCATCATACTTTACGTAATACATATCTTAAAATAGCAAAAAATTTAAACAAAATTGAAAGTTAGAAATTCAAATAAATTATTGCAACCCATAAACTTCCCATTCGGTTCTTTAAATTTGTAACAAAAATATCATCTTTCTACCAAATACAACATTTTCTAATTTCTAACTCAAAAAGCCACTATAAATCTACAGGACTGTTCTCTAAAAAAAGTGCACTCGAACATCTAGAAAAGAATCGAAACACACGTTTTATAATAACACTTTTGGAAGTTCAGTGACAATGGACGAAGACGGCCAGATCTAGCATTATCCAGCTGTCCAACAAACTCCAAACTATAAAGTTTCAGCAGGACGATGGTAACCAATGCAAGGTAACCAGGACGATAGTAACCAAGGTCATCATGGTAACCAGGACAATAGTAACCAAGGTCATCATGGTAACCAGGACGATAGTAACCAATGCAAGGTAACCAGGACGATAGTAACCAAGGTCATCATGGTAACCAGGACGATAGTAACCAATGCAAGGTAACCAGGACGATAGTAACCAAGGTCATCATGGTAACCAGGACGATAGTAACCAAGGTCATCGTGGTAACCAGGACAATAGTAACCAAGGTCATCATGGTAACCAGGACGATAGTAACCAAGGTCATCATGGTAACCAGGACGATAGTAACCAAGGTCATCATGGTAACCAGGACGATAGTAACCAAGGTCATCATGGTAACCAGGACGATAGTAACCAAGGTCATCATGGTAACCAGGACGATAGTAACCAAGGTCATCATGGTAACCAGGACGATAGTTACCAAGGTCATCATGGTAACCAGGACGATAGTAACCAAGGTCATCATGGTAACCAGGACGATAGTAACCAAGGTCATCATGGTAACCAGGACGATAGTAACCAAGGTCATCATGGTAACCAGGACGATAGTAACCAAGGTCATCATGGTAACCAGGACGATAGTAACCAAGGTCATCATGGTAACCAGGACGATAGTAACCAAGGTAATCATGGTAACCAGGACGATAGTAACCAATGTCATCATGGTAACCAGGACGATCCACATTCCACACTCTGCCTGACGTTGTCAGACTTCTCGCTCAATTCAGTCCAATGTACTGGACATGGGCATGTTCATGCTTTAAAAGTTCAAAGTCTACATTTACAAAATGTATTGAAACTTTGGACACCCCTACACATCGCAAACCACCATATTTTTCTAATAAAAATGCTGTGCACGGCACGGACTCATATCGCGACTTCGCGCGTGTACACTTTGTTGTGTTCAACGTCGACTATTTCCTCCGTGATCCAGTCCTCGTCTTCCTCCTCACAGCTTCTCTCGGTGTTCAGCTTGTCGAATATCTTGTAGTGACTGGAGGGATAGGATCTGTGTTAGAATGAGAATATCTTGTAGTGACTGGAGGGAGAGGATATCTTGTAATTAATGTAACAGAAATTAGGGGAGGGGAGCTGACAAATGATAATATAAAATTGAAACAAACAGAACTATTGGGCCCCCTATTACATAATTTGAATGACTCAACATGAAGCAGCTACTACATAATATTATGTACAACTCGTTACTTTAGTAATAGTTACGTATCATTACACCAGCTTCACTGCTTATTGTAGCCAGACTAAGTTGACGCCTCAGATGATTGCGGAGGGACAGAGTGATGAATTACACATTTAAAAAATCAAAGATACGGTTTAATTTCAGTGATACTATCTCCATTCTCCTCTTATCTCCTTACCGTTTCAGCACAGCGAGGGTAGAGTTGAGCGACTCAAGAAGAGCGTAGATGTTCTGCTCAATGATTGTGTACTCCTGATGCAGCTTCTCCTTTAGCCTGCAGTAACACTGGATTATTAATCCTGGCTACCTCAGTTACTTTGGTTACCTGGTTAGTGGTTACCTTGGTTACCTGGGTTACCTGGCCTTGGTTACCTAGGTTACCTAGGTTACCTTGGTTACCTTGGATACCTAATACCTAGGTTACCTAGGTTACCTCAGTTACCTTGGTTACCTAGGTTACCTTCATGGTTACCTTGTTTACCTGGGTTACCTTGGTTACATTGGTTACCTAAGTTACCTGGGTTACCTTCATGGTTACCTTGTTTACCTGGGTTACCTTGGTTACATTTGTTACCTAAGTTACCTGGGTTACCTTCATGGTTACCTTGTTTATCTGGGTTACCTTGGTTACATTGGTTACCTAAGTTACCTGGGTTACCTTCATGGTTACCTTGTTTACCTGGGTTACCTTGGTTACATTGCATTGGTTACCTAAGTTACCTGGGTTACCTTCATGGTTACCTTGGTTACCGTCGCGTGGTTACCTTGGTTAATGGTTATGCAGCTTTTCCTGCAGAAACCCTTATTATTACCCTCCTGGTGTGTGCGTGACTCAATGAAGCAAACTGAATATTCAATATTCTATACTGTTAATCATCATTTCTGCAGAACACAATTACAAATACTACTGATATGGCTAAAATCATTGTTTGTAGAGGGTATTTTTTGCAATATATACTCCTCCGTCAAATCATCATTAGAAAAGGATAATACGACTACTCTAAAATAAGATTTGCAGGTAATGAGAGGACCACGTGTTACGTGGTCACGTGTCACTACTATTACTACTATTACTATTAGTATCACCTGTATGTCTTGAGAGTGAGAATATAAGTGCTGAGATCACTGACGGCGTGTTGGAGGAACACAGTTTCCCCTGAGTCCCAGTCACCCATGATCTGATGTAAGGTAGGATTAGAGACAACACTAACCCATGATCTGACATAACAGTTTCATTATCCGCCGAACTGTAAATGTCACTTACCGTGCGTGTTTGTAATTGTTGTTGTGTGTAGATTTTAATGGAAGCTAATATAATGTTAAATTTATCCAATAGATTATTCAGAGCTGGTAACTATAAACTGGGCTTCAATATTCGAAACCAGATTTTAACAAACCCATGTTGCGTTTAATCAATTGTGCCGACAGTGAAATTTTTATGAGACAATATTATTAGAAATTTCTATAAATTATCTCGTTGAAAAAAGGTCCTGCGAGTGGTTTATATCGTAATAATTAATTTTGGTGGACACATAATATAAGTCAGTTATATTTCCAGGAGTGTTTCACTTGCTGATTACCTGGGAATCTTTAACATAAAGAAGCTGAGAAATGTGTTCGTCAGACTTCTCAAGAGTGGTGGCAGTCTGTTTCAGATCTATCACATTCTGCTGAGCCTTCGGTATCCAAGCGTCGTAGAAATTCTGAGAAAAAAGAGCCTTTATAATTATCTCTTATGTACAGTGAAACCCCGATTATACCACGAAATTTGGGGAAAGGAACCAGCAGCAGTAAATCGGGGATTGCGATAATTCTGGGTTTTACTGTACAACACCATAACATTGTCAACGTGGTGCTCGAGTTATTCTCACATTTTTGAAGACAATGTTCTTTTCAGCTTGAAAGATATTTTATTGATTCTTGCTTGATGTAAAGAATAGTCTTTTAAAGATTTATAATATGCAATGATGAAGATAACCTGAATTTTATGTAAAAAACTTTGTTCGAGAATTTATGTATTCTTTATATACTATATAAATATATGCACGCTATAGTACAATCCCAGCAGAAAACTATTATTAAACTTGTTGAGAATAAAACCTTTATCAGCTTGATGGTGTACTTCAGCCAGTTGATGCACTGTTCTCCGTACAACTCAAACTTAATCTTAGTTCCAATATTCATCTTGTGATGTTTCATGACCACCGAATGTTTAGACCGTTTGTTCTGCCGCAGTGGGACGATGTGAGTTGGTTGGTTGAAGAGAGTGTGGAAAGTGTCCCTGATCTGTGAGATGACACTGCAGATCTGCTGACTCTTCTCAGTGATCTCCTGCACTTCCTGGAACAGTATTGCAGACTAAATGACAGATATAATGTGATACATCAATTTGAGATAACAGAGATTGGACGTACTGTATGAAGCTTGCTTACATTGAATTGGGACATCTCAAAGTCCTCGCTTGATGTTGGACTGTTTTCAAGGCCTGACTTGCTGCTGCAGGGCTGCTCTGTGTCTAATCCTCCGCTTGAACTTCCGCCTACGTCACAACTGAATCTATTGTTTTAGAAAATTACAATAACAAATGAATTTCAAGGCTTATATTTACGAAAAATTTCTTTTTAAATTACATAGAATGAAATATTTAGTAGATTCTTTAGTAATGTTTAAAAAGTCTTTGCGATTTAACAATAGGAGATCTTTTTTAGGATAATTAAACTATAATTAACTAGTTTGGTTTGTTAAAAGGTTTCACAGTTATCAATTTGTTTTCAAGCTATAAAACTTACTTTTTGAGTTTACTGAGAGGGCCTTTACCACTTGGACCAGGTGAATCTTCTGTGTTAACAAAGTTGTTGTATTTTACATGAGGTTCTGCTGAGTGTGGTTCATTGTGGTTCATCATATCTGTACTTGCCATGCTGGAGGTGGTGTGTTAACTAAACTATAAGATACATGCTGGAGGTGGTGTGTTAACTAAACTCTAATATACATGCTGGAGGTGGTGTGTTAACTAAACTCAAAGATACATGCTGGAGGTGGTGTGTTAACTAAACTATAAGATACATGCTGGAGGTGGTGTGTTAACTAAACTCTAAGATACATGCTGGAGGTGGTGTGTTAACTAAACTCTAAGATACATGCTGGAGGTGGTGTGTTAACTAAACTCTAATATACATGCTGGAGGTGGTGTGTTAACTAAACTATAAGATACATGCTGGAGGTGGTGTGTTAACTAAACTCTAAGATACATGCTGGAGGTGGTGTGTTAACTAAACTATAAGATACATGCTGGAGGTTGTGTGTTAACTAAACTCTAAGATACATGCTGGAGGTGGTGTGTTAACTAAACTATAAAATACATGCTGGAGGTGGTGTGTTAACTAAACTATAAGATACATGCTGGAGGTGGTGTGTTAACTAAACTATAAGATACATGCTGGAGGTGGTGTGTTAACTAAACTCTAAGATACATGCTAGAGGTGGTGTGTTAACTAAACTCTAAGATACATGCTGGAGGTGGTGTGTTAACTAAACTCTAAGATACATGCTGGAGGTGGTGTGTTAACTAAACTATAAGATACATGCTGGAGGTGGTGTGTTAACTAAACTATAAGATACATGCTGGAGGTGGTGTGTTAACTAAACTCTAAGATACATGCTGGAGGTGGTGTGTTAACTAAACTCTAAGATACATGCTGGAGGTGGTGTGTTAACTAAACTCTAAGATACATGCTGGAGGTGGTGTGTTAACTAAACTATAAGATACATGCTGGAGGTGGTGTGTTAACTAAACTCTAAGATACATGCTGGAGGTGGTGTGTTAACTAAACTCTAAGATACATGCTGGAGGTGGTGTGTTAACTAAACTATAAGATACATGCTGGATGTGGTGTGTTAACTAAACTCTAAGATACATGCTGGAGGTTGTGTGTTAACTAAACTCTAAGATACATGCTGGAGGTGGTGTGTTAACTAAACTCTAAGATACATGCTGGAGGTGGTGTGTTAACTAAACTCTAAGATACATGCTGGAGGTGGTGTGTTAACTAAACTCTGAGATACATGCTGGAGGTGGTGTGTTAACTAAACTGTAAGATACATGCTGGAGGTGGTGTGTTAACTAAACTATAAGATACATGCTGGAGGTGGTGTGTTAACTAAACTCTAAGATACATGCTGGAGGTGGTGTGTTAACTAAACTATAAGATACATGCTGGAGGTGGTGTGTTAACTAAACTCTAATATACATGCTGGAGGTGGTGTGTTAACTAAACTATAAGATACATGCTGGATGTGGTGTGTTAACTAAACTCTAAGATACATGCTGGAGGTGGTGTGTTAACTAAACTCTAAGATACATGCTGGAGGTGGTGTGTTAACTAAACTCTAAGATACATGCTGGAGGTGGTGTGTTAACTAAACTATAAGATACATGCTGGAGGTAGTGTGTTAACTAAACTCTAAGATACATGCTGGAGGTGGTGTGTTAACTAAACTCTAAGATACATGCTGGAGGTGGTGTGTTAACTAAACTCTAAGATACATGCTGGAGGTGGTGTGTTAACTAAACTCTAAGATACATGCTGGAGGTGGCGTGTTAACTAAACTCTAAGATACATGCTGGAGGTGGCGTGTTAACTAAACTCTAAGATACATGCTGGAGGTGGTGTGTTAACTAAACTCTAAGATACATGCTGGAGGTGGTGTGTTAACTAAACTCTAAGATACATGCTGGAGGTGGTGTGTTAACTAAACTCTAAGATACATGCTGGAGGTGGTGGTGCAGTGTTAACTAAACTCTAAGATACATGCTGGAGGTGGTGTGTTAACTAAACTCTAAGATACATGCTGGAGGTGGTGTGTTAACTAAACTCTAAGATACATGCTGGAGGTGGTGTGTTAACTAAACTCTAATATACATGCTGGAGGTGGTGTGTTAACTAAACTATAAGATACATGCTGGAGGTGGTGTGTTAACTAAACTCTAAGATACATGCTGGAGGTGGTGTGTTAACTAAACTCTAAGATACATGCTGGAGGTGGTGTGTTAACTAAACTCTAAGATACATGCTGCAGGTGGTGTGTTAACTAAACTATAAGATACATGCTGGAGGTGGTGTGTTAACTAAACTCTAAGATACATGCTGGAGGTGGTGTGTTAACTAAACTATAAGATACATGCTGCAGGTGGTGTGTTAACTAAACTATAAGATACATGCTGGAGGTGGTGTGTTAACTAAACTCTAAGATACATGCTGGAGGTGGTGTGTTAACTAAACTCTAAGATACATGCTGGAGGTGGTGTGTTAACTAAACTCTAAGATACATGCTGGAGGTGGTGTGTTAACTAAACTCTAAGATACATGCTGGAGGTGGTGTGTTAACTAAACTCTAAGATACATGCTGGAGGTGGTGTGTTAACTAAACTCTAAGATACATGCTGCAGGTGGTGTGTTAACTAAACTATAAGATACATGCTGGAGGTGGTGTGTTAACTAAACTCTAAGATACATGCTGGAGGTGGTGTGTTAACTAAACTCTAAGATACATGCTGGAGGTGGTGTGTTAACTAAACTCTAAGATACATGCTGGAGGTGGTGTGTTAACTAAACTCTAAGATACATGCTGGAGGTGGTGTGTTAACTAAACTCTAAGATACATGCTGGAGGTGGTGTGTTAACTAAACTCTAAGATACATGCTGGAGGTGGTGTGTTAACTAAACTCTAAGATACATGCTGGAGGTGGTGTTTTAACTAAACTCTAAGATACATGCTGGAGGTGGTGTGTTAACTAAACTCTAAGATACATGCTGGAGGTGGTGTGTTAACTAAACTCTAAGATACATGCTGGAGGTAGTGTGTTAACTAAACTCTAAGATACATGCTGGAGGTGGTATGTTAACTAAACTCTAAGATACATGCTGGAGGTGGTATGTTAACTAAACTATAAGATACATGCTGGAGGTGGTGTGTTAACTAAACTATAAGATACATGCTGGAGGTGGTGTGTTAACTAAACTATAAGATACATGCTGGAGGTGGTGTGTTAACTAAACTCTAAGATACATGCTGGAGGTGGTGTGTTAACTAAACTCTAAGATACATGCTGGAGGTGGTGTGTTAACTAAACTCTAAGATACATGCTGGAGGTGGTGTGTTAACTAAACTATAAGATACATGCTGGAGGTGGTGTGTTAACTAAACTCTAAGATACATGCTGGAGGTGGTGTGTTAACTAAACTATAAGATACATGCTGGAGGTGGTGTGTTAACTAAACTCTAAGATACATGCTGGAGGTGGTGTGTTAACTAAACTCTAAGATACATGCTGGAGGTGGTGTGTTAACTAAACTATAAGATACATGCTGGAGGTGGTGTGTTAACTAAACTATAAGATACATGCTGGAGGTGGTGTGTTAACTAAACTCTAAGATACATGCTGGAGGTGGTGTGTTAACTAAACTCTAAGATACATGCTGGAGGTGGTGGTGTTAACTAAACTCTAAGATACATGCTGGAGGTGGTGTGTTAACTAAACTCTGAGTCGAAAATAATATAAATGTATTTATCGTAACCTAATTTAATTCGCATAGAGTCTATGAGGCAAATTAGGCCAGAGGAATGATTACAGCACTGATATAAAAAGTACTTTATAGCAAGTTTTTAATTAGATACAGTAGCTTTACTTTGAAACTTTGGCTCTGCTGATCATCCATGCATTTCCTTCAAAATTTTGTTTAACTGAATTTAAGAACAACTTATCTGAACTAAAAATAATATGATGAAGTCGGAGCCTTAATTGATGAAACTAATAATCGATACAGAAAATCAAAGTCCAGGACAATGTGTAAACGACAGGGATAACATCTGCATTATACGTCATGCAACATTATCAAATGTAAAAATTCAAGCCTAAATGAAGGACAGTAATAGGAAAGCGTTTATGTCCGATTCTGGTGTACTCATCAACAATAAACCAAAGATTGAATTTAGATTGGCAAGCATTTAGCTTAAAGGATGGGATGCAGCCTCATCTATAAATACGAATCCATACTGGATTGACTGTTTTTAGTGATGGGATTAATGACAGTTGAGTAAAGCTAAGGCAAAGATGGCTAATACATGGAACTATGACAAGTGCAGTCCATAGATCGCTTTTCATACACTTAAATTATCTTCAGGATTACAACTATTATGTATTCAATAATAAAAAATTCAAACAATATACACGTAATATAGCATTGACCCTATGTAAAAATTCAATATGAAATTCAATAAAAAATCTTAGTAAATTTTACAAAAACCCTTTAAGTAGTAAAAGTAGCCAGTTCAATTTGTTGGCTCTAAATTTATATCTAGTTCTGATATTTTAACAGCGCTACTGCTTTTTATCCCTCTTTCTCCTGAATTCAATAATATAATTACATGTATCCTTTTTGGCTGCTTTTATGGCCTTTTGACCAATATGAAGAAATGAAAAATTGACCAAATATGTAAAAGAATAAGAAATATATAATAAGGATGTCAAAATCGAAAAATAAATAAATATCGTTGCTTTTTAGACTGGTTCCAGCTACATGCTAGTTATTGTAATAATGAAAGTATTAAAGTTGTAACAACACATTTTATGTGCTTTCAACATTGCAAAAAATAATATATGGCAGTACAGGGTTTCGCTTGACCATTGTTAATGGTCTGGCCCGGCGTGCGCTACTTCGTAGCACTTTTAAAAAGCTACTCTTCTGCTCTTACTGGTAATAAGCTGAATATTAACAAGGCTGCAGACCAACTCGTTAAACAACTCTCCACACAAAACAAAGCTGTTAAGGTTGAAGAAACAGAGGAAAGAAACAAGAGAACTTTGTTGGTACGTAAACCTATGTCTGTTGACATCAGAGACAGTAAAGGTATAAG